ACAGCGCTCAGAGCGTGCATGGAGGCTTTCAAGAAATACACCGTCTTCATCAAAGCCTACAAGCACCTCAAACTACAGGGCAAACAGGCTCGCAAGGCTCTACTCAATCGAGAACTTGGGCTTGCGGCAGAGGCAGCACAGCGCAATGACACTGGCCAGCTCCATCGGATCATTCGAAGGCTGGCTCCCAAGACGAAACCCACCACAGTGCGCATTCACGGGCCTAATGGAGAGATGCTTCGTGAGGTTGAAGAGCATCGTACCATTGTGAGGCACTTTGAGACCCTTTTCCAGTCGAACGAGTCTTCACATGTGCCTGATGTGGAGCCCAACTGGGGTCTTCAGGTTGTCGAGCAAGATCTCTATGACGCCCTCCGCAGCACCAAGTACGGCAAGGCCGTGCCGAGCTCGTCAGCCCCTTCCAGTGCAATCAAAAGCTGTGCAGATATTCTGGCACAGGCAATGCTTCGCTCGGTGAATGCCAGTCTGAACGGACAGGGCACACCGGCTTTGTGGGCAGATTGTCACCTGACGCTCATCCCCAAACCCTCCAAACCAGCTAAAAGACCTGAAAATCTTCGTCCTCTTGGACTACAGGATTGTGGAGGTAAGGCGTATGCCCGGCTTCTTAAACAACTTTTGCTGCGAGAGGTCGGCCCACAACTGCTTGCGAAGCCGGTCTTTGCTTACTTGCCGAATCGTGGCACCGATGATGCTATTGCTCGTGTTATAGACCATTGTAAAGCTGTCAGAGACCAACACAGACGGCACGTCTCGAACGTGCACACGCACCGCGCCCAGCAGCCCAAGCCCAACACCTATGGAGGACTACAACTTGCTATAGACCTATCCACTGCATTCGACTTGGTGCCGCGAAGCGAATTAGAGCGTGCATTAAGGTGGGCAGGTGCGAGCAATACTCTTGTTCTGGCCATACTCGACTTGCATTCAGTGTGTCGGTATACCATTAAGCACAAAGGTCGCACTACAAGCATACACATGCGACGTGGAGTTCGGCAAGGATGTACCTTGGCTCCGCTGCTTTGGGTAGTCTTCAGTGCCTATATGACACATCAGCTACAGCATCACCTCCCTGCCTGGTGGATTGATGAGCACCTTACGCTTTATGCAGATGATACACATGCCAGCTTTATAACCAACAGCGTTGATGACGTCAAGTATGCCTTCAGAGCAATAGGCACCATCTTCTCTGTGTATAAACAACATGGCATGAAGGTGAACCCCAGCAAGTCAGGGGTGGTGCTTGGTGTTCGTGGATTGCAGGCCAAAGAATTTCTGAGCTCCCACATTCAGGGACCACCTGCGCAGCATGTTCTCGTCATTGGTATTGGTAGAGATTGGCTCCGCATTCCTATTCAGACTAGCATGACGTATTTGGGCATCACAATCTCTTATGACAATTTTGAGCAGGAAACTCTGGATTCTAGGCTGCGGATTGCTCAGTCCACACGATGCCGCCTCGCAAAAGTGCTGAATGCACGGAAGCACTTGACACAATCACAACGAGTGCATCTCTACATGATCTGTGTTCGTACGGCGGCGCTGTATGGGCTGGGTGCTGTTGGTTTGCAACAGGCTGGGTTACGTAAGCTGCATAAGTTTGAGACCAAACATCTCCGTGCACTTGTCCGGTCCCCGGTGCATCTGACCAGAGAATCTACCGCTCAGCTTTATCAGAGACTTAAGCTCAAACAGCCTGGCCAACAGCTTCTTGGCGTCTTGAAACAAAGACAACGACGAGCTCAGCTTGCCACCCCGGGGCATCAGGGCTGGATTTCTGACAGGCTTTCAAATCTCACGGAACTGCTACGGCTGCAGCAGACTGGACTTCGCGAAGTAACAGGCATACAAGAATACTCGTGCCCCACGTGTGGTCAGTATTTTGGTACGCTAAAGGATCTTAGACAGCACCACACTAAAAAACACAAGCACACGCTACAGTTCCGAGCGCAGGGGCCAGCTGCTCGACTGCACGGTCTTCGCACTCAGAATCACAGTGTTGACAATATGCCTATCTGTCGACATTGCGGTGCCAAGCTAACTGCCTGGCACAACTTCCGAGTTCATATTATCACTAGCTGCCCGGCATTGCATGCTGCAGAGGGCCATCAGGCAGTCGAGCCTGCTATGCAGTCCGCTGCGGGGCTTGAAGCCTTGCCTGATCTTGGATCTGCTTTGCAGTTCGCTGCGGGATCCACACAGGCCTCATTGGAGTCCTCACTTCCTGTAGCAGAAAGGCCCGAAGTCTTGGAACTCGTCCCTGCTGCTCGCTGGAAAACCATCCTCTGGTTAGATGGAGTTAAGGAACATCTTCGTAATCGTTGTGTCTTCTGTTCGCAGTGACGCTACGAGAAGGCCAACAACGGCCCTGCGGAGCTTGTGGAGCGCGGCCCCTACATCGTACCAAACACCGCTGCAGAGTACTCTATCAGCTTTGTCTGCTACGGCAAGTGCACCTCCAGGCCCTTCGACCTCCGGTCCATCTCAGTTCTCGGCCCGGAACTCAAGATGCCAGTGGATGCCAAGGAAGCTCTGGCGGAGGTGCAGGGAATGTTCCCACACCTGATGCCGGGATCGAGAGGAGCGGACAAACCGGACGAGGATATGGAACCTACGGCTCTGGGCCGGAGGGACCGGGAGCCAGAGCGGCTGGAGAACCCGGAGAAGTACCCTCGCCCCGCGGGCAAGGGCCAGCGAGTCCTCCTCCGGTAGAGCCTGCAGCCCCTTCGGCACCCTCGACAGCCCCACCCGCCACGGCGGCGGATGCAGCACAGATCCAGCCGGAACAGGGCAAGACCCCTTCGGGTCGCAACCGCCAGTGGACGCAGGAAGAGTGGGATCAATGGCAGGGCTGGAGCAAGAACAACAAGGAGCTCACCAACAAGGAGCTGCAGCGCGAAGTGGAGAACCTACGGGAGAATGTTCGCCTCCTGGCGAGGATTTCCATGAGGCACGAGGACGAACTCAGCCAGAAGCGCACGGAAACCGACTTCATCCTGACGCTGGAGGTAGCCCCACCCGATGCCACGCCGGCCCAAGAGGGACTGCTGGAGCAGCT